TGTCCTGGAGATGTGGGAAATTTCACTTTATCTTATGGAAATGCTTGTCTGCCCAAGTTCATATCCCTCAGAGAGACAGGATCTAGATCAGCTGAGTGCCTGCATTGGCCTTCCGCCTCGGTCAACCTACAATTCAGGGTTGGCCAGGAACCGCCCCTGCTGGACCCCTGTCATCACCCTGACTCCAGCTTTCCATCTCCTCCAACGTCTCCGACAGTATCCTGAGGTTCTGCCCAAGTTCCTCTTGTCTCAGCCCTAATAGCAGTTCTCAGTGGGACCTACTCAGAACCTCAGCTGTGTGATCTGTGAAAATGGGGTAATACTTGTTTCTAAGAACATTATGGAAATACTTTGAATACATGAAGCATCTGCAAAATGTCTGGGAAATGTCCACTCACCCTTAGCACAGTTTCAATTAAGATGTCTCCACACAATGATCATCAAAAAAGGATGTTCACGGAAGTTCATTCAACTAAGACTATTAATACCTCAGTCCAGGGATTGGGAATTGGCATGTATATAATGAGACAAAGACCATCATTTTTCTATTAAAATTCAGGCCATACCAGACAGAGAAAGGAAACATAATTATGAAATGTGTACATTTAGAGATCTATATCTGAGATCTGAAGACAATAATTTTCCATTACATATAGACTCACACATGCAACCACGCACACAAGTGTTCATCTGAGGCCACAGATAAAGTATGGAAGACAGAATGTAGGAAAACATAAGATCATAGGGAAATTAACCAAAATCTCTTAATTCTCACTGCCTTATATGACAACTATTCTGAAATTTGAAGAAGACTGTGCAAGGTGACCAACTATGGTCATTATACACTTGTGGGGATGAGCACTGGGTGTTGTATGGAAACCAACATGACAATAAACTATTAAAAAATGTATTTAAAAAAAAAGTTGTCGGATCTGCCTGAATGTCTTCGCTGTCCATTTGGCCCCATCTACTTTGCCCTTCCTATGTCCCCTAACACACCTTTCACGGCTCTCTGTGTCAGGATCTACTTCTAGGAGGACATAGTCTCACTCCCCATCACTGCACACAGTGGGTTCCTGTACACACAGGGACAAACGGACAGAAGTGCTGGTGATGGAGGATAGTAGCAAGATCACCCTCTGTGCAGGGGGGGGAAACACCCAAGGGAGTTTTCCAGGGTGGTGAGAACCTCTTATATCTAGATTTATGGGTATTTGTGCTCATTTATTGTAGAAATATTCACTGGATCCCTGGTGCCTCAGGGTCAGACAGACAGGTGTCTGTCCCTAGCATATGGCTGACTTCTAGTGGTGGGTAAGGAGGAGGGACCAGCAGTGACCATGGGAGATGGCGTGCGTGAGGAGGCCACACAAGGAGTCAGGCCCTGGCCCAGAAGGCCAGCTCTCCCCACACAGCACCATGTGCAGGAGGGCTCTAGGGACCAGAGAAATCGTGATCAGTTCCTTTAAATCCATATCTTCTCCCAGATTCCTCACTGAGGGACGGCCAGGGCACAGGCCAGCAGCTGGAGGTCACCCTGATCATGGCTGGAGAGGAGCAGCGGGCCTGGGATGTTAAGTCGGAGAAAGAGACAGGCATGAGTTAGGGACAGGGAGTTTGAGAGACGAAGGAAAGGGAAGAGAAGGAACCTGACATCACCTACATTTCTGTGTGAACAAAATGGGATTCTTGTCTCCAAGGGTGGGGAAGAGGGCTGGCAAAAATACAGAGTGACATTCTCAGCACAGGTGCCAAGTATACCTGCCTTGCCCTTAAATACCTAACACAGGAGGCCTGTGCTTTCTGTCATAATTAGAACTGCAGCTCATGCCATTTAGTGAAAATCAATCTAGTTATGAAGCCCTCATCATTAAAGTGGGCAAAACAAAATTGGGTGGACATAGTGATACAATAGAGGATAAACCCCAAAGGTAGACCAAATGCAACACATACAGGAATATAGACTTGGAAAAGGAGGTACCCCAATGCAGGCATTCAGACACCTGGACAATATCTGAAAGTGTAAAAAAAAAAAAAAAAAAGTCCTTAACTCAAAAGAAACATTAACATTAGACACAAAGAGACTGTGATGCAAGGTTTAGAGAGAAATCCATTGGTTTCATGCTGCTATACCCATGAAATCAAGTCTCATCAAATTATACCCTTTTGCTTGAGTCTATTTGTTTTATATAAATTAAGCCTCATTAAAGATAGTTTCAAAATATAAAATACTACATGAAAATGTGGGAAAATTCATTTCTAATCCTGAAGTGCATGGGAGATAGGAGTCTGTCTGACCATGTCTCAAATATCCAAAAAAGTAAGACATTAAAAAATTAATAATAGCAGAGTAGGAGGGCCCTGAGCTCACCCTGTCCCACATTTTCAACTACATAACATCCATATCCAAGTCCATAAACCAGAGAGCGACCCAAAGACTGGCAGACGGGGAAAAACAGTTGGGGAGACGGAGGGAGGCAAACCATGAGACTCTTGAGTACTGAGAACAAACTGAGGGCTGATGGGGGGAGATGAAGGGGGGTGATGGGCATGGAGGAGGGCACTTGTTGGGATGAGCACTGGGTGTTATATGGAAACCAACTTGACAATAAACTATGAAAGAAAAACAAAACAAAACAAAAACAAAGACTGGCAGAACAGACTCCACATTTCAATATAGAGAAGCTGCATCTGAAAGGTTAGGGAGGTCAGGAAGGTCCAGGGCACCTGCCTGCAGAGAAGGCAGAGAAAGTGAGTCCTCACCCCAGGGAGCTCACACAGGGAAGACTAATCCCTATAGCATTTGGCTTTAGAAACCAGAAGGGCCGAATTCCTTGAATTTGGATCCTGGAGCTTAGGAGGTCAGCTGACTCGGCACTGGGTGATCCAGGAGGGTGAGTGATGCAGCCATGTGTGGAGAGGCAATGTCAACATGGCAGTTTACACAATGCCGGAGGCAGCAGGAGACTGATGTGTTCATGCCGATTTGTGAATGTGTTGGGGGACTTCCTCAACAACGAAGGAGCTCACAGTCACATTTTCTCCCCCACCATCCCCAGAATAAGCACAGGAGCACCTACCAGGGGGTGGGGCTGCACAGACACTTGATGCCTAACCTGCTCGCTGTGTGCCGGTCCCAAGAGTCCACTGAGGGACTCACCCGTGCCAAGCCTGCTGGCCTCATGCTGGGCTCAGGGATACATTTGTACAAAACCACATGGGCACCCTGTCCGGCCAGCTGCACACACAGCTTCCACAGCGCACTGTGCACATCTGCACCACATCCAGCTGTGCACCTCCAGCCACCGATGCACTCTGTGCATAGCGCCAAGCCCCTGGCTGCCCTGGTGCATAGCCCTCAGCCATCAAAGGACATCAGGAATTCTGGCATAGGACTCATAGCCTTGTGCGATTTTGCTTACACTCCAGCCCTGCTTCCAAGTTACCCAGTGGGTATACCACCCCACAGCTGGCCTGCCTGGGCCCCGCTAACATTGCTGAGAGCAAACACAGTCCACACGGGCACAGAATCAATGCAGACACCCGTACTGAAAGGAAAAGAAACCCAGACACAACAGCAGGGAGTGGGCAATACCCATGGGATATTGTTCTGAAGGTCTCGGTTCTGGTAAATGGGGACATACACTGCACAGGCCTCCAGGGCCTCTTCTTCATAAACTCATTAGTTTCAAGAGCAGAAGACACAGCTGACTTTCTTAACACAGAGAAATAGACCCACAGAGAAAGACAAAATGAGGAAACAGCTTTTCACCCACCGTGAAAGAACTAAAGAAGGCCACAGCCAGAGATCTAAGCAAAAGAGATATAAGTCACATAGCTGATACAGAATTTAAAGCATTGATCATATTGTTATTCACTAGAGTTGCTAAACTAGAATAGTGAGACCCTTGACATTGAGATAAGGAATAACACAGTTGAGATTAAGAACACAATAAAGGAGAAACACGCTTGCTGGAATGAACAGAGGGATGGAAGAAGCAAAGGAACAAACTAGTGACCTCAAAGACTGAGCAATGGAAATTAATCACAGTGAACCAAACAGAGAGAACAGAATTCTGCAACACGAGATGAGACTAAGGCAACTCAGTGATTACAGCAAACATAGTAACATTTGTATTATAGGAGTCCCATAAGAAAGAGAAAAGGGGGAAGAAAAGTTATTTGAGGAAATAATAGCTGAAAACTTCCCTAACTGACAGAGGGAAACAATCATCCAGATCCAGGAGATTAGAAAACTCCCATCAAAATCAAGTCAACACTCAGACATATTATAAGCAAATTTGAAAATTACAGTGGAAATGAAGAAAACCTCTTAAAAGCAGAAAGACAAAAGAAGTCCTTAACTTACAAGGGAAGATGCATAAGGCCAGCTACAGATTTCTCAACAGAAACTTGGCAACCTAGAAGTGAGTGACATGACATATTCAACGTGCTGAATGGAAAAATCAGCAGCCAAAATTACTCTATACAGCAAGGCTATCATTCAGAATAAAAGGAGACACATAGTTTCCCAAACAAAAAATTAGAGTTTGTACCACTAAACCATTGCTGCAAGAAATATGGAGACGGTTCTCTGAGTGGAAAGGAGAGACTGAAAGTGGCAGTATAGAGGTAGAAGACACACATCAAGTCAAAATGAATATTTCTGCAAAAAATCCATCAAGGAACTCACAAAAAAATGGATATAAAATATAATGACACTTATTAAAAATGTAGGGAGGAGAAAATAATGGGATTTAAAAGTAAATAACTATCAATGTAATACAAAACGCTAAAGAAGAGGTTATATACAAACCTAATGGTAACCATATACTAAAAACCAGTCATAAATAGGTAAAGAATAAAGGGAAAGAAATCAAAATGTATCACTAATGAAAATCAGCAAAACATGAAAGAAAGACAAGAAAGGATTAGAGATAATCATTAGAAACCACAACAGGTAATAAAATGGCAATACATACATACATATCAATAATTACCTTGAAAGTAAATGGAACGAATGCTCCAATCCAGAAACAGAGGGTGTAAGAAGGGATGAACAAACCAAACAGATTCACATGCCGTCTACAAGTGACCCACTTTGGACCTGAAGTCACCTACAGAATGAAAGTGAGAGGGTGGAGAAACATCCTGCAAGTGAAATGTCAAAAGAATGCCAGAGTAGCAATACTTGTATCAGACAAAAAAGACTTTAAAACAAAACATAACAAGAGACAAGGAAGGACACTATAGAACACTAACGGGTCCAATCCCACAAGGAGATACCACAGCTGTAAATACATAGGAACCCAACATAGGAGCACCTAAGTACAGACAACTTAATAACATAAATTAATTCATAATAAGACTTTAATACTTTGGCTCAGGTCACGATCTCGAGGTCCATGGGTTTGAGCCCCATATCAGTCTCTGTGCTAACAGCTCAGTCTGGAGCCTGTTTCAGATTCTGTATTTCCCTCTCTCTCTGCCCTTCCCCAGCTCGTACTCTGTCTCTCTCTGTCTCAAAAATAAATAAACGTTAAATAAATTAAGCATCCGACATCAGCTCAGGTCATAACCTCGTGGTTCGTGAGTTCAAGCCCCGCGTCAGGCTCTGTGCTGACAGCTCAGAGCCAAGAGCCTGCTTTAAATTCTGTGTCTTCCTCTCTCTCTGCCCCTCCCTTGCTCACACTCTGTCTCTCTCAAAAATGAATAAACATTACAAGAAAAGAACCATATGACCATTTCAATGCGGACAGAAAAAAATTGATAAAAACATTCATTCATGATAAAAAAAAAAAAACAACCCAAAAATGTAGGTTTAGAGGGAACATACACAACAAAAAACGGTCATCTATGAAAACCCCACAGTTAACATCATCCTTAATGGGGGAATTTTGAGAGCTTTTCCTCTAAGGTCAGGATCAATATTAGTATGTTTACTCTCACCACTTCTATTAAACATAGTGCTGGAAGTCCAAACCACAGCAATCAGACAAAAAATAAGTAAATCAAAGGAATCCAAATCAGGAAATAGTAAAACTTTTGCACTTTGCAGATTACATGCACTATACATAGGAAATCCTAAAGATTCCACCCAATAACTGCTAGAACTGATAAGTGAATTCAGCAATGTCACAGGATACAAAATCATTGTACAGAATAATGTTGTATTTCTAGACAACAATAATGAAACAATAGAAAGAGAAATTAACAAGAGTCCCATATATAATTGCACACCAAATAGTAAGATACCTGTGAATAAATCTAACCAAAGTGCTTAGCAACATATACTCTTTAAACTTTAAAACACTCATGAAAGAAATTCAAGATGACACAGAAATGGAAGGATATTCCATGCTCATGGATTGGAAGTACAAATATTGTGAAAATGTCGATACTACCCAAAGCAATTGATAAAATTAATGTAATCTCCATCAACATACCAGCTGCATTTTTCCACACAAATAGAATCATCCTTATATTTGTATGGAACCACAAAAGACCCCATTCTTCAGAGTACACATCTTTTATGTGAAATGATAATTATGGATGGCATTTTTCCTCTGGACCTTCTGCTCCAAAACACATAACCCCGGTCTAGTCGTTTGAAAACATTAGTCATATCCCAATCAAGGATCATTCTATAAAAGTACCTCTCAAAACTTTGCAGGTCATGAAAAATATGGAAAATCTAAAAATCATCATGGCCAAGTAGAGTCCAAGGAGACAGGATGACTGACGATAATGTGCCAGCTGGGAGGAGTCTGGAATAGAAGAGGTGAAAACCTAAGATATCAGAGTCAAAATATAAACTTTAGGGGGCACCTGGGTGGCTTAGTTGGTTGAGCGTCCGACTTTCGCTTAGGTCATGATCTCGCGGTTCGTGGGCTCGAGCCCCGCGTCGGGCTCTGTGCTGACTGCCAGCTCAGAGCCTGGAGCCTGTTTCAGTCTGTGACTCCCTCTCTCTCTGTCCCTCCCCTGCTCACGTTGTCTCTCTCTCTCCTAGAAATAAATAAAACATTAAAAAAGAAATCTTAAAAAAAAACCCAAAATATAAACTTTAGTTAATAATGCCATGTCTCTTCTGGATACTGATTGGGATAATGTACCAACTGATATCAATAACCAGAAAACAGTCAGACATATGTGGAGACTCAGTACTATCTTTCCAATTTTTTTGGTAACTAGAAACCCATTATGAATGGAAAGATTATTACTATTCTTGGTTTTATATTTTCAACACATAATATTTTATAATTAGTCCTAGTTACTAGTGATGGACATTTACCTATTCTTAGTGTTCTTACTATTGTTTTATTTAAATAACAACATTCATCTTACAGAAAACTGAATAATACACAATGATATATAATTCATAAAAACATCTATTTTTTTCCTTAAACATATCTTAAGATAACAACACATGTGTATAATATAGTACATGGTTAAGCGGTTTTCTGATCTTAAATGAGCATGTCATCGAATGGATTTCCATAAACGTGGGTATCCTAGATAATGAACAACACTCAGATTTTACAGGATGAACCTCACATCATGCCTGAACATTTTTTTAAAAATGTACAAACAGCCAGATGGATCACTGTGACTGGCTCACTTATTCTACAGAATCCTTGCTTTAATATTTTCATACACATTTTCTGCAGAAATACAAGAGAATCAAACATTTCCAATTCAAAAAGATATTCGAAGATTAGAAGAATGATAGTGATTTCAAGGGTTTTCGGAAGGAAAAAGATGTGACCATGAAGCAACAGTCACAGGCAAGCAATGTTATTTGGGCCGGGTTGACAGGTTGCATGAATGGATGTCCACTGCGGCGCGTGACTGCCAAAGGCTAAGATCCAGAAGAACAAGAGGACAAGACAATCTTCTAGGAAGAGGTGACTTGGAAAGGGTGATTCTGTGCCTGAGTGAGGGCTCAGCAGCCTGGCTGGGGATCCCGAGGTCAAAGATTTCAAATGGCCAGCAGTAACTTAGACTCAAAAGATCTTAGTAACTTAGAACAAAGTAACTTAGATCCAAAGAGATCTTAGAGCCACAGAGTTGATCTTCATCTATGATTAGTAGATGGTGATAGTTTCACAGGATATGAAAATCAGGCCGGCAGTAGATGGATAAAATGTTATTTAGGGCTACATTTTTAATAAAAAATGGATGTGTAAAAATTAGGATTTGGAAATAAGAAAAATAACAGGCTCATCATGGAGTTACTTATGTTAAGGCCCCATGTCACCAAACCTAGTTTCATTCCTACAGGAATGTAACCTTTAACCAGTCAGCAAAGAATTTCCTAGTAAATGCTAGAAATTTTACTGATAAAATTCCCCTCAAGGAGGCAGTCTTGCCTAAATAAGATATTTCATGCCACTATTTTATTACGTTTTAACTTTTTATCTTTTTTAAGTTTTTGTATTTTGAGAGAGACTGAAAGAGAGCACATGCAAGGGAGGGGCAGTGAGGGAGGGAGAGAGAGAATCCCATGACAACGAGGTTATGATCTGAGCCAGTATCAAGTGTCAGACACTTAGCCAAGCCACGTGGGCACCCCAAGAATGTGGAGTTTTAAAGCCTAGCAAGCTTGGCTGGGATACAGCCCTGAGAGCACTGCCCTGCTCCTGGAAAGAAGGCAGGCAAACTACTTGTAGGCAGATGGCAAAGAAACAGTGATCTGTGCAACACCTGGTGAACACAGTGGGGAGATTATACACTCTTCTAGGAGCGCATCCCTGAGAGAAAGGGTTAACAAAGATGCTTCTATAGGGACAAAGGAGCTAGGTGGTGCCATTTCCCTCCTCTGCCCCCCAGGATAAACACAGAGCCACCTGCTGGAAACAATGCAATTCCCACACTGGCTGCTTTGTACCCCCCTGCGCTCTGGTGAGACTGCCTTTCTAATTTGAGCTTGGCTCAATCCCAATGGAGCTGGCCCCTTCCCCAGAAGACCAGCAGAAGCCCCTGACCACACCACCTCTCTTGACCAGACAGTTCTGCAGGGGTTCATTTCTAGTGGCAGTTGTTTCAAGTCTCATTTAACAAGCCGATCGGAGCACACCTAGTTAAAACTCACCACATTCTGGCCAAGGACCCACTGTCCATATCAAGCAAGGGCATCCTCTGCAGATAACTTTCCTGAAGGATAGTGCAGCCAGAACACAAAACAGTGCATGCAACACACCCCAGAGACACTCCTTGAAGTGTCAGGCCCTGGATACTAGATGACCTCTTCTTCATAAAGCCATTAATTTCACAGGCAGGCAACATAATGACCTTTTGTCACACACAGAAGGCAGATACTCAGACAAAATGCCAAGACAGAGGAATGTATCCCAAATGAAAGAACAAGATAAGATCATGGCCAGAGAAATGGAAGGAACACTTCCAAATGCATCCTACGAGGCCACCATTGCCTTGGGTCCAAACTGGAAAATAACCCCACTAAAATGGAGAGCCACAGACCAATTTCCCTGATAAACCTGGATGCAAAAATTCTCAACAAAAATTAGCAAACCAGATCCAACAATACATAAAAAAGAATGTCACCAAAATGAAGTGGGGTTTATTCCTGGGATGCAGTGCTGATTCAATATCTGCAAATCAGTTGATGTGATACATCACATTAATAAAAGAAAGAATAAGAACTATGATTCTCTAAATAGATGCATAAAAAGCATTTGACAAAATACAGTATCATTTCTTGATTAAAAACAAAAAAACAGGGGCGCCTGGGTGGGTCAGTCGGTTGAGCATCTTACTTCGGCTCAGATCATGATCTCACCGCTGGTGGGTTCGAACCGCGCATTGGGCTCTGTGCTGACAGCTCAGAGACTGGAGCTTGCTTTGGATTCTGTGTCTCCCTGTCTCTCTGCCCGTCCCCCACTTGCACTCTCTCTCTCAAAAATGAATAAATATTTAAAAATTAAAAAAAAAAAACACTCACCCTCAAGAAAGGAGGGATACAAGGATCTTGCCTCAACATTGTAACATCCATATATGAAAGTCCCTTAGTTAATACCATCTTCAACGGGGAAAAACAGAGCTTTCTCCCTAAGGTCAGGAACACGACCAGGATGTCCACTCTCACCACTATTATTCAACATACTGTTGGAAGCTGTAGCCTCAGCAATCAGACAACAAAAAGAAATACAAGGCGTCCAAAACTGCAAGGAGGAAGCCAAACTTTAACTCTTCGCACACACGATATGCTCTGTGGAGAATCCAAAAGACTTCACCAAAAAACCGCTAGGACTGATCCAGGAATTCAGGGAAGGCTCAGGATATAAACTACATATACAGCAGTTGATTGCATTTCTAGACATCAGTAATGAAGCAGCAGAAAGAGAAATCAAGGAATTGATCTCAAATAAGATTGCAATGAGTACCATAAAATGCCTAGCGATAAACCTAACCAAAGAGGTAAAAGATCAATACACTGAAAACAAGAGGAAATCTATCAAAGAAATTGAAGAAGGCACAAAGAAATGGGGAAAACATTCCATGCTCATGGATTAGAAGAACAAATATTGTTAAAATGTCAATACCACCCAAAGCAATCCACACATTTAATGCAATCCCTATCAAAATGACACCAGAATTCCTCACAGAGCTAGAACAAACAAGCCTAAAATTTGTATGGATAGAAAAGGCCCTGAATAGCGATAGTAATGTTGAAAATGAAAAGCAAAGCTGAAGACAACACAATTCTGGACTCTATGGTGTGTTGCAAGGCTGTAATCATCAACACAGTATGATATGGGCACAAAAACAGACACATCGATCAGTGGAATGGAATGGGGAACCAAGAAATGGGCCCTCTAACATATGGCCAACTAATCTTTGACAAAGCAGGAAAGAATATCCAATGGAGAAAAGAGTCTCTTCAGCAAACGGTACTGGGAAAACTGGACAGCGAGAAGAATGAACCTGAACCACATTCTTACACCATACACAAAAATAAACTCAAATTGGATGAAAGATTTAAATGTAAGACAGGAAACCATCAAAATCCTAGAGAATAGAGTCGACAACCTCTTTTATCCCGGCCATGGCAACTTCATACTTGACATGTCTCCAGAAGCAAGGGAAACAAAAACAAGAATGAACATTGGAACCTCATCAAGATAAAATGCTGCACAGCAGAGGACACAATCAGTAAAACTAAGAGACATCTGATGGAATGGGAGAAGATATTTGCAAGTGACATATCATATAAGGGGTTAGTATACAAAACCTATAAAGAACTTACCAAACTCAACACTCAAAAGCCAAATAATCCAGTGAAGAAATGGGTAAAAGACAAGCATAGACACTTTAGCAAAGAGGACATCCAGATTGCTTAGAATGAAAAGCTACTCAACCTCACTCACCATCACTGAAATGCTAATCAGAACCACAAGGAGACATCCCCTCACACCTTAGAATGGCTAAAATTAACAACTCAGGAAACGACACATGTTGGCAAAGATGTGGAGAGAGGGAACCCTTCTGCAATGCTGGGGGGATTGCAAACCGGTATAATCACTCTCGAAAATAGCATCGAGATTCGTCAGAAAACATAAAATAGAACTACAGTATGACAGAGCAACTGCACCACTAAGTATGTATCCAAGGGATACACAAATGCTGAGCCAAAGGGGCACATGCACTCCATTTTATAGCAGCATTATCAGCAATAGCTAAATTATGCAAAGAACCCAATGACCAGTGACTAATGAATGGAAAAAGTAGATGTGGTGTATGTATACAA